AATTGCCAAATTTTTCACACATGATATTTTATTGGTTGTTATTTTTTCCCTTAAGAATTTTGTATATTTCTTTTGCATTTTTCAATACTGAATTCAATATTAATGCCTTTTTTTGCAAATCTTTTTTTTGAAATTAAATAAAACTCAATATATTAAAAAAAAGTTATAAAAAATTAAATTTTTTCCTGAAAAAAAAAAGGATGGGAAGACCTATTTTTTTCTAAGGGCCTGGGGCTGTACCCCAATTAGCTCCCATTTTAAAACGGCCCTGAGTAAATCTTATTTAGTTAAAATCTCGAGGTACATTATCTAAATCTTGATTGTAAGTATGGAATCATATTTGGGTTGGTTGAGAACGATATTGGGTTGGTTGAGAATGATATTGGGGTGGATTGAGAACGATATCGGGGTGGATTAAATAAATAAACTTCTATTTTCGATAAATTTTAAGAAAAAATTTTTAAAAGTAGAATGCCACCTCGACAAGGAAATTCGATGCTCGCCACATGTGATAATGTAGATGTGGCCAAGTAACATGTTGATGAGATTTAATTTTACTTAATAAAAAAATAAATTATATAAACTCTAATGAAGAAAACTTTAAGTGTGTTATTTCTGTGATAATCACAGTACTTTATGTCCTATATTTTTTTAATTTGCATGATTTCAATGAATTTAAAGTTTTTTCAAAATTTGTTATGAGTCTTTCTGATAACTTTTTCAATCTTTTTGAACCTGAGGGTTCTATAAAACCATGTCATAAAGTTTATTGTTCAGTTTTTGGGTGAAATATAAAACATAAAAGTATAAAACATAAAACTTCATAAGTGTTTAGTTGATATATATTTTATATCTAATAATAAAAAAATTAATTCTTTTTCAAATTAACTTTGAAATTTTTTTTAAAAAAAGTTCTAAACAGAGCCTATATCCGAAAGAGGACGTTGAAAATTTTGAACTAGTGTAACAGAGTGCTACGAAAATTGAATCTTTGAGAGAAAAGCCGTATGAAGAAAGATCAAAGATATTATAATCGCTAACTGTGCAAAATATAAGAAGACGAAGTGATTTGATTCAATTGTATAAGATTTCAAAAGAGCAACTCTATTTTTGTTATTTTCATAAAAAAATCATCGTCTTTCGTTTCGTCAGTTCCAATTTATTCAGAAACACCAAAAATAATGACATTCTTCTACTTTATTTTTTTCTTAATTTCGTTTTCAATCTCAATTTTTATTTGTGTTTGTATAAACAAAAATATGCAAAAAAAAAATTAATAAACAAGTTAAATAGCATAAGTTTTTGATTACAACAAGTAATCAAACAAATAAACTGATATTATTTCGAAAAGGGTCTAGAAATAATCAAAAAAATAATTAAAAATTTATTAAAATTATATTTAAAAAGTATCAATTTATGCGCTTTCAACGTGCTTCAATTTCTGGAGAACCGATTTATTCATAGCATGAAAGTAACTAATATAAAAATTGCATAACATCGTTATATACCTAAATTAACCGCTTTTACTCGAGATAAAAAAGAAGGGTAAAAGCAGGAATCACTTTTTAATGTCTATAGATGATTTATTTTAAGAAACAATTAATCTGGTCCGCTTTATTAATAACTTTTTAGTTGATGAATACTTAAATCCTAACTGAATTCATAAGTCATAAATGTTTTTCTGGTCTTTATTGAGATAACAAAAATAAACAGATCTATCTCTTATTTTTTGAATTTATGCTCTTTGCAGGCTCATTTTTTAATAATTTAATAATTTTTTGAATCAATTTTTCTGACGAATTTAAACCAATTATCAAACAAGTAATGCAATATACGTCACTTGTCTGATGATAAAACTTTTCTCTGAATAAAAAAGAAGTACTATAGTACTTCTTTTTTATTCAGAGAAAAGTTTTTATTCAGAGAAAAGTTTTTATTCAGAGAAAAGTTTTTATTCAGAGAAAAGTTTTTATTCAGAAAAGTAGTACTACAATTGTAAGTACTACAATTTGAAGTACTACAATTGTAGTACTACAATTTTAAGCATACCCCATGATTTAGATTCTGATAAACTACCAACAAATAGTGCACAAAAAGACGCGGTTTTTTATCTAATTTCAACCTACTTAACAAAAGTGGTTTAAAATACCTAAAGTAAAATTAACTTTAACTAAAAAACCTCTATAAAAAATAATTAAATTGAGTTACAGGTAAAAAAAATCAAATATGGTACAATTAAGTGTCATGATACAAAAAAGGTATTCCTATAATTTATAAGTGGCTTTATTTTCTTTTTTTATCTTTAAGAGGGACGTATACAGGTGTATAACCAGATTTTTTATTTTTTCAAAGTTTAATTAAGAAATCAAGTAAAAAGTTCCCAAAGTTTAAAAACTTCTTCAAAAACGTATAAATAACAACTATAAACAAGCCCTACTTTTTATGGATTCCATAGCAACAAATTGTTTACAAACGTTGCTGGGGGCTTTTCTTTACCTACATAACTCTTTTCAAAACAGTTTTTTTTTTTTAATTAAGTAGATAAGATTGGTGAAAATAAAACATAAAGTTGGCTTGTTGGCGTGGTCGTTCTGTTCAAGAAGTGTATTAAATTTTAACATTCTTATCTTAAATTCTTCAGCAAAATTTTCCAATTTAAAAGTTTTCTCAGTTTCATTATTTAGGAAGTTAACCTTAACCTTAAAAATTTGGAAAAAAATTAGGAAAAAAAACTAAAAAAAAAAAATTTTATAATTCAAAAAAAAATATTGATTTTTAATAATAGCATATTTTCCTTAACAGTATGTTAAATTGTTTTAAATGCTAAGAAACTTTGATTTAGATAAAAAAAAGTTTTTTTGAAAAAATTTTACATTCAACCTTTTACTAAATGATGTAGATATCATTTGAGCTTCTGAGTATTTATTTTATAGAAAATATTTTAAGTTTTCATAAGTGGTCAATATTTTGCTTAACTTGCATAAGTCTAGTTTAAAAGATTTATTGAAATTAGATAATATTTAAAAAAAAAATTTTTTTTCAATAAAAAATTTTTATGATTAAATTATTATTATTAAGGATTCGCTCCCCTCGTACTATTCCTAAAATTCCCTCTGATTAGAAACATTAAAAGCATATTTTTAAATATTATGATAGTAAAACATTGTTAAAATTTTTTATGTCTTTAGATGATTAAAAATTTAATCATAAAAAATTTTTATGATTAAATTTTTAACAATGTTTTACTATCATAATATTTAAAAATATGCTTTTAATGTTTCTAATCAGAATAAAATGAGGGGTAGGGGGGCGAATCCTTAATAAATGCCAACTGCTTTCTATATATAAAAAAAAAGACCTCAAAAAAAAAAATCTGCTAACTCAGTGAAGTTAAGGCGATTTACAAATTATTCGAAATCTTTTATTTGAACTTAGTATGGTTTTATCAGGGTATTGTATATGTCCGAACAAGAGCTTTAGATCGTATAATTTTGATTGCTTCAGGTTTTTTAATATTTAAAGAAACTTTTCTTATTTTTATATAATTTTCAAAACTTTTTTACTACCCCTAATAGTGAATTTAAAAATCTCCATTTTGGAGTCTTTAGATCAATTTTGCTAACATTGGTGTTCACATAAACATAGTTAAAATCTTTTGAAAAAGTGCCTTAATTTACTATAGATCCTAATTCTAATCGGTTCTGACGTATATTAACTAAATATATTTGTCAAAATACAATATTTCTATCAATTTTTACAAAAAATACTCAAATTCCGACCAAGAAAAGGGCTTATAATTAAAAAAAAATTGCTATTAAATGATCAGAACAGATCATATTATTAAACGATGATGTTCATTTTACCTAAACAACGTATTTATTTAAAATCTTATTCAAATTTGGACAAGCAACTGTAAATATAGAAAGATTTTTTTTTTAAAAAAAGATTCTTTAGTTCAAGTTTTTTTTTCTATAAACATATAACATGATACTGCAAAATTTATCATTTTGATTTTTATCGTCTTTTCATAATTCACAGACCTGATCATTTATGTCGTAGTCAACTAAATATCATACAGACGTTTTAATATTTTAAAATTGCCTTAACTACACTGAGAATTGAGTTGTGTTAAATGCCGACTAGCCGACTATATTCCTTTAATAAACCGACTACAAGTTGAAAATAGCTTTTTTAAGGGTAGGGAGGGGAATGAGGGGAGTTTAGGTGCTTCCCCACCCCCTACCCCGTAAAATCGCCCCGGTTTATAACACATTTTGTTTAATATACGTATTACGCTTGCAAATTTTTTTATAATTTTTTTATGTATTTATTAAATGGTGTCTATACTATACTGTAATTAGTTAATTGTGTGTATACGTAATGACAACTCAAAATTTTAAATAGTTAATTTACAAAAACTACGTTTTTTTAAAATAAACAAACTTAAATAGTTCAATTTCAACTATTTTAATGGATTATTTTACAAAAATAAAAGTTTATTTAATAAAACTATTGTAAAATAATTATCAAATAATAAAGTTTTGGAAAATAAAAACAAAACTAAAAAACTTAAAAGATTGTTTTCTGTAAAAACAACCGAATAAACAACCGTTAAAGTTACTTTGAATAGCGGGGTTACTTATAAAGTAAATAGTAATTTGACAAATAACTTTTTGTTAAAATAAGATTGAAGTAAAAATTTACAGAATACTTTAAGTACGAAAACAGAGTTTTTCTAGGCCATCAATTAATTATCATTTGAAAATATAATTTATTTATAAATTAATATCTGCTTCAAGCAACCCCAAACTAAATTCAAGTTTACCCCGTTTTACGATAGTTGATGGTATTACCGATTATATTTCGGTATTTGAATTAGCTCGTTATAAAAACAATCGTTCTTATCACGACGAAAAAAAAACAAAAAAACTATTTCAATGAAAAAAAAATGATTTTATTAGTTATTTTAAATACTGCATAAGTTATTTTAAATGTTACGTATTATTTACTGCAATGGTGCGCAATTAAATTAATTTTGTATGACAAAGTTAATACGACACAACTTTATTGTTTCTTTAATAAAAGTAGGTGATAATACTAAACTTTTGCTCAGAGAAAGATTTTATTAGAGTAATTTTTTCAATTATTTGAACTCTGGAAAAAATAAAATCTACCAGATTCACTGAAGTTTTACTGTATATATTAAAATGTTATTGAATTGGGTTAAAAAGAAAAAACAAATGTTTTCAAAAAGAAAAGAAAACGCAGTTTTTGATAAACGCTTATTTATGGATCTACTTCTTCATAAACAGGAAACATTTGTCAAAAAAGAGGTGAGAAATATTAAAGAAATTTAGAGGGGCTATCAAGGGGGAAGTAAAAAGCGCAACCATGGGGTGGGTATTGGGACTTGATAAAAGTTTTAAATATTTCACAAAATAAAAACTTGCACAACTTCAAAACGTTGGAGATCTTCACAAGCCTTATATGTAATTTAAAATATTATATAATTCCATCGATTTTATTAATTATATATAAAAAATACTTTTATTATAATGTTTCGTTTGGTTTGGCCAACTTCTACATAAAACTTTATAAGTTTTGAAAGGGGTACTCTCCAATTTAACAACAGTTCATAGTAATTAATTTGAAGGTATTAACAGCCTATTTTGGTATTTTTCTTCGATGTATTTAAAAGTTACAAAATTTTATAAATATTTTCAAAAAAATAAACTGATTTTATTTAACGTGGTCATTTTCGCTAACCTTAATCACCAAAAAAAGTTATCGCAATCTTTATGGTAGTGTAGTAAATTAAATATTTGTATTATTAAATGTTTTCAAAACAAATATAAATTAGAAATATTAGTTTTAATTAAATATTAAATTTATTTTTTAGCAATTAAAAATTATTTTAAAAAGTGACATTATCAAATTGTGTTGAAATTGCGTCAAAAATTTATTTTGATGTTTTAAATAATTTATCGTACACTTTTTTTAATTTATTTTCATTTGTTGTTGTTTTTTTGTATATAAACTAAAAATATAAGCTAAGGGGCCAATGTTAAATTTTTTTTTCTACGTTTAAGCGATATACCAGTCTCTAGTTTCAATTACAAATAAATAGCTGTATGTTTTTATTTTATTTAACGGATTAGATTTATTAAACGAACTTTCCGTTATGAAAGCATTTTTTTAAACCAAATAATAGCCATGAACGTCAAAAATAAATGTATTATATACACTTATTTTAAAATAAAGCATTTCTTTTTTTGCAATTCGCAATATTTTCTATTTTTTAAATGTGAAATATTCGGAAATAAATGTACAGAAAGTAAACACGTGTGTCAATAATCATTATTTAGTGTTCCGGTTTAATATAGAAAGCAAGCTGTTGGCAATTAAGTAGATTAAAAAAAGATCTTCGCAGTCATTGATTTATAACAAAAAATATTTGAAAAAATTGATTTCAATTGACGTCAAGCGTCATAAACGTCAATAAAATATAGCGTAATTAAAACTATAAATAACGTGATAAAATATTATTTTATAAAAGTTTATAATATCTTTTTCAAATTAAACGCATGTTTATAGGAAACGCTTTTTGAGCATGTCATAAAATAAATGTTGTGTTACTCAAAGAGAAATTGCTTATATGTAATATAATTTGAACCAGTTTTAAACATATTTGGATAAAAGTAATTGAAATATGTATAAAGTAGGGAGCTGGGCTAGTTGAGCAATTTTTACTAAATCTAACAGATCTCATGAGTTTTTTCAATATTTGAAAGATAATTTAACCTGCTAAAAATTTGTTGAAAAAAAGTATAGTTTTTAATTTTTTCAAGAAGATATTGCCTAAAGTTGCTCAACTGCTGCAAGAGCTGCTCAACTTACCCCAGTGGGGTAAGTTGATCAATAGTGTGAGGCAAGTTGAGCAATCAACAAATAAATGAATATGCATTGTACAAAACTTGGGTAAATCATCAATAAAACTTTCACTAACACTAAGCGTTATAAAATTTACCAACTTTTTATTTTATACACTTTAATGGCGTAATTAGGAGAAAAGAAAAAATTGAAGAGTAAGAAAGTGTCATAAAATATAAAAATATTATTTTATACAACACTCTTGAACTTTGAAGCCCGATTTAAAAATTACTAATTTTAAAAATATATTTAAATAATGTACCGCTAAATTATACTTATCAAAGCTGTGACTTTGTGCTCGATAGTTCAGTTTTATTTACTTTTTTCTAAGCTACCCAACGTACTCTTACTATACAAGAGTATACATTAGTTAGGTTTTAAAAAGAACAGTAAGAGTTGGAACAAACGGCTGATTTTAATCGCAAGTCCGATGAATTGATAAAATATTAACGCTTAGGTGAAGGCAGCTGCCTTCACCTCTATATTTATATACTTCACATCTATAGATTGAAAACTTATAAGCATTCAAGAAAAAAATAGTGAAAACTTTTTTTTTTACTTTATCGGCACAAAATTAAAAAGTGTACCTTTCTTAATTGATTTTCGGCAATGTTTTGTTGTGCATTGTGTTAACATTCTAATTTTCTAACTTTCATTGATTAGATGTTTTTTATGTGATGCGTAGTTTTTAAGATATTTTAATTGCAAAACTTACTCCTTTGTTCAATTAGCCCCGCTCTACCCTACTACAGTTAAAAAAATGCTTCCTTTTTTTGTGGAGAGAGCGGGGAATTTGTTAGGTAGTAGTAACAGTATCGAAAACAACCAAACTGAAATAATTTAACAAAGGAATTGTTCGGATTAATTTCGAAATAGAGAATAAAACCAAAGTTGTGAAAAAAAAAAGGAAAAATATTGAAAATTCAGAATAAGGTCGAAACTAGCAGAAAATGGCTAATATCGAAATAATTACAAATTGAGTAATTTAGAAATAATTATGATTAATATTTTTTAATTGATAGATTGTCTTTTAAAACCAAACCCTCAGTCGATATAGCAGAACTCCTTGCATGTTCTACCTATTTGTCAGTCAATGCACTAGGCGTCACTAAGCGGAAATTGCGTCACTAAGCGGAAATTTTACTTGTATTTCCTAAAAGATTTATTCATTTTTAATTTTCTTTTACATTTTCCAATTTTGCTTTTTTAAAAGGGAAAATTTCAGGGTTATAAAAACTCATGTTTTTGATAAATCTTTGAACTGCTTATAATAAGAATCAAAATTCTGCATTATACATAAATATTTTCAACTTAATAATATATTAAATTAATTAAAAACCAAAAAATGTTAAAAAACATTTTTGCATAATAGTTTTTTCTTGTTTTTTTAGTCCGCAAAGACTGAATCATATTAATACAGAGGTAGCAAGTTTTTTATTTGATGCAAATTTTATACAACTAATCAACTTTTTATAAGTAAAAAAATATTCTGGTTACCTCTGAAGCAAGATACTTCAATTCATTTTTTTGAGTGTGAACTGTATAAAGAACCAATTCTTCTCCTTTTTAGTTAGTTAGGTAATTAAGTTACACAAAGCCATAGCTTTGTTAAACTCATCATCAGCTGAGTATACGCGGCATTTACGGTAAACGATGAGCTGTAGTAACTACGATAACTGAAAATTGTCCAGTAGTTGTTTAAATTTATCAACTAATGTTGCCTCGATGACATTATCTGGCAAAGCATTCCAGTCATTGACTAAACGGTTGTTGAAAAACTAATGTCTGGTTTTGCAGTTCCTGACAATCTCGCGATGAAATCTGATTTGATGTTGAGCTCTGTGTGCTATGCTGCAAGGCTTTACGTGCCAATGAATTAGGTTTAAATTATTGAGAAGCTTATATTGTTGAATATGATTGCCTCTTTTTTTACATTTTTTTACATTTAACTTTATCTGCCAGGTTTGCGCCCAGTTAACAATCTCGTCTAGATTGGATTGTAAACTTGCTCGGTTTTCATCATTTTCGACAACTTTCATCTACTTTGTGTTATCTGCGTACATTTTGCAAATGGCTGATTTGACATGATTTGGCAAGTCATTAACAAGTATGACAAAGAGCGTTGGTCCTAAAACGAAACCTTGCGGAACATCGCTAGTAACATCAATCCAGTAACATTTTGAATCTCCAAGTATAACATGTTACTTGCAATTTGTTAAAGGATTTTATCCAATTAAGAAGATTGTCATTTATACCATACATCTTAGGCTTTTGCAGCAGTCTAGCGGACGAAACTTTATCGAAAGCCTTTGTCAAGAAAAATTAGGTCGACTGGTTTTTTCTTTAATTTGCTATGAGTCAAAAAGTTCATTGTTTTTATAAGCTTTGTGATGCAAGTCTTTTTTTGAAATAAAACCATGTTGACTTGTCTAACTATTTTTTCCAAAAGTTTGCATGGAGCAATGTCCTGTGTAAAATTTGTTTCAAATATTTAATATTTCTCAAATAATTAAGCTATTTATGCGGCCGTGGCGCAGTGGTTAGAGAGCTTGCTTTATAAGCAGGAGATTTAGGTTCAATCGAACTCTGGACATATTTTCGCGTCACGGTAAGGAAAGAGGTGTGAACTTCCTTGCTAAATGCACATCCGCGGTGCTCTGTGACAAGATCGTTAAGTCTTCTTGGGGCACTTAAATATTAAAATTAAAATATATATATATATATATATATATATATATATATATATATATATATATATATATATATATATATATATATGTATATATATATATATATATATATATATATATATAGAGAGAGAGAGAGAGAGAGATTTTCTTTTTTAGTAGGAGAGCGACACTAAATGCAATGTAGCGACAATCCTAGCATGTTAATTAAAATTAAAACACGTTGGTTAGAGATCATTTTTTCGAGCAGTTAATATTCAATGCTATTCTGCTTTCTCTATTAGTTAATTATTAAATCGATATTATATTGCGCAAACGCATGTTAAACGGGTTAATTAGTTTTAGATTCGACCATCCCAATTTAACACTCATGGTTCAAATATTTTAAAAATATGTAAGTTTATGATAAAATTTGTGAATTATTATATTATTTGAATTTCATGCTAAATTTTGCTGTACAATGCATTCAAATATCCAAAATGTTTTATATCCAAAAATATTGTTGGCTTAGCATAAGAACAACCACAAACGGTCACAAAGACTAATCGAAAGTGGCGTTTTTTTTTTATAAATATTTATGCTTACGATGTAGTACTCAAGAGTTGGGTTTTCAGTGTCCGGATTTAAGAATTAAAATTGGATAAAAGTCCAGTTTTAAAATTTCTTTTGTCTATCCAGTCACATTTACATGTAGATTTTCACCGCAGAGATTATTG